TGAGGCTGAAGTGTGGAAATTGGTTTGTCTTGACAAGGAGTTCAAGTGGCAGGAATAGCACAGAATTTGGCAAACCATAACACAATTTAGTTATGCCATAGACAGCCCATGATACCATGAGGAAGTCTTCTCATATATTGTGTTGAGCACTTCTCCATATATTGACAATATAGTGGCACATCATTTGAATTGTTAAATTATAGGTGATCTTTTACAAGTATGTACAGGGACAGATTAGGCAAACATACAGTCAGAGGGATATTAAAAAATCAGGTAGCTGTCAGCTCTTCCACATATATATATGCAACCTAATCTATGCCAAAGAGGAGACATTAATGGATCTTTTGTTTGCAGTTCTATACCCACTTACCTGGGCAATAAGCCTCACTGAGATTTATTTTGAGATTGGAAGCCATATTCATCTGCTGTAGTAAAGACATCTTGTTAAGGGATGGACCCAACCTGTCATTCCTCTGCTAGAATAAGGTGTGTCAGTGGAACCAAAAGGAAGCTATTTACCCTTTGCCCAAAGCTGCTTGCATCCTGGCATGTCCTCAAAATCTGTTCTGGAGAGCTGAGAAATGCTCTGGAGCAGATTTAAGTCAGCATGGATGGCTGCAGTGTGGAGAAAGAAGGAAGTCTTGTCGTGACAGCAGATTTAGGATTAGATTACATTAGATTTTATCCAAAGAATTATTATGACATACTATCGACTCCATGGATCAAAGCCCACATCATCAGATATGTTATCTTTTATCTGGTCTGTGAATGCTAATGTCAAAATAAGTGCGCACTCCTATGCATGTTTAGATAGGGGAAAAGTCCCACAACTCCTCCTGGATAGGGGACTTTTTCCATAGGATCTTAATATGTTAAACTTGCCTCTCTATGTGGAAGGAGGGGAAATAAAGAGCTGTGTTTTAACTCCACTACCTTCTGCTGACGTTCTTGTCACTTTCTCCTTTTAGAGGGTGAGAGTTTGCAGTTCTCTGCCTTCAAAAGCTCCCCACACAATTTAGAACCTTGCAAAATTTGGGAACAAAATTTTGAGGAAATTCTACCAACAGAGGAGAATGTATTCTCTACAATTACTGTTTCCATGTATAAGGCAACAAGGACAGTGATGGTGGTGGGACAGAGCTCACACACCCATCCCCAATTCCCTTCCTCACATACAGAGGCATGAGAAATGACTTCACCTTTGAGCTGGCTTCATAAATAATCTACCCTGCACATAAATGCACATAAACCAATCACCATTTGATTCAAATTGTGTGTATTTCTTACTTCCAAGGAGTGGTAAGGAGAGAGAATCCCTCTATTCTTTGAAAGGGACATTAGCTATAGTGATTGTGAGAAAGGAACCTGCAGGTAATACTTATTCCAAATAAATTGATTAATTTGGAATGAAAGTGTGTCTTCTCGTAGCTACTAATTTTCAATATTGCCCAGTGCCACTGAAGACAAATATAGTGTGATTTACACGCTCTTTAGTCCCACAGCATGTTAAATGTGCTGAATGCTCAAACTATCGTCTATTTTGTATGGCACTATAATATTGTATGTGTGACCTTGCTCTACAGGATTCTGTTCTAGACAAACATATCACTTAGAATATTTTAAAACTTCTTTTTAAAATAAACAGCAAATAACTATGGGTGGAACCCCCTCCCCCCTGTAGTATTTGCTGCTTTAATGAAGCTACTTCAGTGGCCATTGAAAAAGTTGATTGACTGACAATTTCGTTTTTAAAGCTCTTCATTACACAGAGATAAACAGTGAAGAGTAAATCCACAATGTGAAAGACCCCATAAATCCAAGGAGATAAGCAATAAAGGTCTTGCAGAAAATCTTGGTTTTGTCAGCTGCACATAAAGCATGTCTGATTATTCTTATCTAGCCCAGCTTTTAAATTTCTTAAAGATAAGAAAAGGCAATAGGTTCATCTCCTAATTATATTTTTTAACAGAAAATATGGACACACATGTCTGAATTTTCTCACTTTGCGCATGCAAGTCAATGTTTCCAACAAATTGCTACAAAATTTGGCAGCCAAATTTTTGACTCAGAGTAGCTTCAGTTTTGAAATAGTTCCTTGTAGTTCCTATTAATATTCAGACAAAATTAAAAATCCTGCTATTGATATCTACAGGGTTTGTGTGTTTTTGTATTGTTTCTTTTTGGGTTGGTTGTTTTTTAACAGATAGGGACCTGGGTATCTAATAAATTACCGGTACCCATATGAACTTGCCTGGGTGATAAGAATTTTCCTTCAATCTATTGCATGGCCCTATCTCTAGAGGTCAGACAGAAAGCTACCAGGAGCATAACCTCTTCTGTACTGGTATTTGTTACTGTCCCTGTACTGTATGGTTTTTGTCTTGTGTGCTGCTTGGCAAGTATACCACCCTTAAAGATCACTTAGAAATGGTTTTAAATAAATAAACAAGCAAACAAACAAACCAGGCTATCAATGTCAAAAAAAATTGAAACCATGGGTGCAAAGAACTGTGTGGGGGTCTGTAACTTCTGAAAAACAGAAATATATTTTTCCACAAATCCATCCCTAATGCCCTCAAGGTCCTGTACAGGTTCCAGTCAAGTAATAGCTACCATGCTTCTACAATCAGTCATTTGGGGAAGATGGCATATATGCATGTAGAGAGTCTCAAGTGGCCATCAATTTGCAAATTTTCAGATAAAGCTTCTCACAGTTCATGAAAGGTTAAATGTAAACAGTAAACAAAATAGCAGTATTTCCCATTTAAACAGTACTTTTTATATAGAATGCACAGTGGTTTATTCTATTATAAATGTCAGGTTTCATTGATGTTCAAGTTTATGGCAGCAACTGGGCTTTGGGTTCCCAAATCTTCTCAGCTACAGCACTCATTTTCAGGCATAATACTTAAGACAACCTTCTGGGGCCACTGGGCACACTTGAAATTTTAAGAGCACGATGGGGGTAATCTCATGCAATAACTGCAGTGAGAAGGGCTTACTCATTCACAAGATGGCTGCTGTGAAGAACATGGCCAATCTCAAAGCACCTGTTTCCCAGAAAGCTGCAGCTAGTCACCATTTTTTTACTTTCTAAGAATGCCTCTGGAGACCCCAAATAAAGATGGGGTAACAGTGGAGGTTGGAGCATGCTAACCTTTCAACAACTTTAAACTTAATAACAATCAGGAAGGTCAGTGGACCTGACAGGTGCCAACAAAGGTGTCCATGGCTGCATTGGAGGCAAATGCACCATGGAAACCACAGACTTAGAATTTCTCACCAGGTTTTGAGTCCAGGGCTTTATAAGCACAAATCTATTTCACTTATGGACAGTGTTAAAAGTCTGTACCTTGGGCCTGGCTTTGATGTAGACAAACATATAGCTGCTGAAAACAAGAGTCCATTTCTTTTCATGTTCTATCTGCTAGTACTTTCTAGTTATATAACATATCTAAATGTTTTCCCATATGCAAGAGTTCACTTGTTGGTCCTTGCGAGAACAATGAAACTCACAGCCAGGGGTTGGTTTAACATCAGCAGACTTTACCAGGGGCAGGAAGAAGAGAAGGTATAAGGTGCTGTTTTGCTTGCCTTCCCCACAGTATCCCCTTCTTTAACCAAAGATCGAACAGATTTTTTAAGACATTCTCGATTGGGATGAGCAACATCTGGCCTTTGGGCTACATGAGGCCTTCAGCGTGATGTTCAGTCATCAGCTGAATGGTAAAAGCCCTTTGCAAGCAGTTCAGACCACTTGCAAGAGGGATCTGTAACTCCTCTGGAAGCCTGCTGGGAGACAGAAGGCAGAGCAAAGGAGAAAGGGGAGTACCTGAGAAGAGGGAGAGAGAGAGAGAGAGAGAGGAAGGAGGGAACTGGCAAAAAAGAAAAAAGGAAGTAATTTTGCCCAGTTTCTGTTCTGGTACACCCACTGCTGGCTTAAAGTCATCTCTGCCCCCACCATGAACCCTAACCCCTAAATGGATGTACCCCTGACAATGACAGCAACAGGTTCCCATCCATTAACTAGGTCACGCTTCACCCTACAGCAGATTCTTCCAGATTTGCATGCTTATACTCCTCATAAACACCCTGATGATAAGACTGAGGTGGAGAAAGAATGAGCCTGAGGCTTTAGATGCAAAGAAGGTGTTCTGAGGAGGGGCCTAAATAAAAAAATAAGCAGTGAGAAAGTACTAGTAGTTATATGTGTATCATTTGATACCAATTTAGATTAAGGCATAGCTATGCTTGTCAAAGATGAACTATGTAAGCAGATGTCAGTCATTGTAAAATCCCTAGCCAGAAACATTTATAAAATTTAACTGAAAATATGTTTCTTCCAAGAATGTTTATCTGAGCATACAGGCTGTACATAGTCTACCTTTAAAATACGCTTGTTAAAATATCAAATAAATTGTCAACATCTGTCAAGTAGGCAAGTTTTACAAATTGTTTAGACTGGGCACTGGGTTTTGTACCTCATTCTTTTCAGATCATGTAGAACGGAAGCCCCAAAACAGAGGAGGGAAGTTTGAGATTGTTTGATGGAAATGCATACTCTGCATCATTACCCTTCTAATCAACAATATCATTCTTTCTTCAAAGTCCACACATCTATTATTTACTTTTCTTCACTCTGGGTGGCATTTTGAGGCTATATTTACAAATCATTCCAAAAGAGCGTTTCAGAAGAGTATGCCAGATCTGCACATCCTCCGAGTCGTTTTAACTTGAACAATGGTTGTGTAATGGACTCTTGTGGTAAAATATTTGCAGTAATACTGTGAGTCTACTGGCAGCCAAGCCCTCTCTGGTGAACTGGAAGGCTTTGAGTAATCTCCTGACTACCAGGCAAGGCTATTTAGATTACCACACCTAAGTGACCCACCATCTTCTCCATTCTCCTTTCTCCACTCCCCTTCCTTCAGCCCCAGAACAACAACATCGCTTTCAGCCTTCCCCCTAGTTTCCCACACACAATGCAACCCAGACCTCACCTTCAGCTCCCCCGAGGCCACTTTGGAAGCCAATTCGATGACACAGCCAACAGCCATGCGTGCAGCACCGGACGAATGCAGCTCATTCCAAATGGTGTCACTGTCCACCTGAGCAAACAGTTCGCAGAGGGGCGGGGTGCCGGGGGGAGGGAGAACGGAGAGAGAGAGAGAGAACAAGAGAGAGAACGAGAGAGAGAAAGAGAGAGAGAGAGTATAAGAGAAAACAAATCAGCGAGGGAGGGCTGGCACGGTGACAGCCAATGTACAATAACATTAGTCTTCCGTCTTGGCCAGCTGAAAAGGCCTTCTGGACATGGCTTTGCTTATACTTTTTCTCTACACTGAGTTCTCCAATGGAAACACATTCCTGTCATGCCTCACTGCCATTCCCTGTTTAGATTTCTCATTACAAACAGTATTACATAGGCCAGAGCTGGCCTAGTTATGGGTCTGTTAGACACCGGGCCAGGGGGGTAGATGCAATATATATTCTACATGGCCTTAACATCTGAGGAAAGAATTAGTTTTGCAAAGGCCAGAACAAAAGTTTAAGTGAAATTCATAAATACTAAAATGAATGCACAGCTGGAGTGAACACCTTTTTTTAATGGCAAGTGTGGGTCATATTCCTAAAATAAAAGGCATTTTTTACATCGCTACTACTATGAATCAGAAAAGGCTTGGCAATTTATCACCTGAGACCAGGCAGATATGGTTGATTCTGGGGTCCGCTTGTCAAGGGAGCCCAGTTCCATGTCTAGAGCAAATGCATTCTCAGTCCTACTGCCAGTTACCACAGGTGGCAGCCGTATCCTCTGGGCTGTGGGTGGGAACAGTTGTGCAAATAGGAAGGGAGGGGTCCCAAGGGCATAATCTTCCTTGAGGCTTAATGTTTCTCTCAGGGGAGGTGCAGAGCAATAGCCCTTTGGATGGAGATTACAAACAATTTATTTTGGAAGCACTAACATAGCCAGTCCGAATGACTATTCATATATTTATAGCTGTTAGTTTGCACCTAATGGGGTTTTAATGCAGTGCATCTGGTGCATGCAAGAGCCAAGAGCAGCATCTTTTAAAATGTGCATCATCTCTATATAATTCCAATACTGAGTTGCATCCTAGTGATGAAATAAATGATGGTCTGACTATTGTTCCCTCATACAACAATATTGGATGCAACTGTGGCTTTACACGCTGCTTGTGGATTTCTCTGGCTGAACCACGGTGGAAGAAATGCTGACTTAAGCCAAGGTAAATGAACCATGATGCATCGCTTGCTGCTTTTGTTATGAAGGTAGGTGTTGTACCTGCCACCTTTCCTATGTCACTTGAATTATGAAGCCTTTAAAAGCACTTTTCTTAGTTGGTATACCTTGTGTAAAACATCTCATGGTTCTTCCCACACCATTCGTATTCCTTTCTTTCGAACACTTAAAAGCCTACTAAGAGTTGTGCATAACTTCTGAGGAAGTCTCTCACACACTGGACCTAAATGCCTGCAAGTCCTATTCAGGTGCCTGCAACTGGCAGCTATTGTGAATGATGGCATTTTTAGAAATGGCATTCTCTGGGAAAGGTGCTCCAGGCACAAATGAGACCCATAACTGCACCTCATAAAACTTCTAGTACCATGCATGCAAACAGAATCCACAAGCTTTTATTTGTGTCTTCCTTCTGGTTTGGGTGATCCATACGTATTTTCTTTCTGTTGGGCTATCATGGTTACCGATTCAGATTTTTCCGATTGCAACCGCACTGCGCATGCCAGCAAAAAGCCGTTACAATTGCGAAGAGCTCTTTTCCAGCACTTGCTTTTGTTTTTCAAAAACATATATACCATCTTATCTTAATAGCTCGAGGCCATGCAGAAAAAGCAACATAATACATGAACATTATAAAGCAGGACCATAAAATCTGATGAAAAATCCAGTGCAGAGCAAAAACACACAAGGAACCAGCATACAACCGGTATACATCAAAACAGAGCCAGAGGCAAGAAAATCACCCTTACCCTTTGCTATGTTCACTTTTCTGGCAAGCACGGATGTTCCTAATAAACTTACTCTGCTGCTCTCTGACTTTTGTTTCTTCCTGCTGTGGGTGTGGGTGTGTGGGTCCATGTGCATCTGCATTTAGAGCTGCTGTTTGCTCTTTGATAGAACATTTAATAAAATATTTCCATGGCTACAAATACTATCTGAAATAGTCATTATAGGAAATAAATACCTGAAATTAGTTCTGACTTCGAAAATCCCTGTGGGTCCTGGCTTGTAGCAGCAGCTACATATTATGTGTAAATGCATGTATTGGTATGTATATGGCAGAAATTATTATCATATGACACAAACACTGCCTTTAGTTCTATTATATAAACTTTTTAGAACTATGCCTCATCTTTGCAGATACCAGAGCAGTGTAAACAAAGTATTAGAATACTATGTAGTACAATAAAAGCACTAAAGTCACACTACCATGATAAAAACAACAAGGCAGTAAATACAATATTGCAGACAAAGAGCAGAGGAATGCCTGGGCAAACACGATATTTCTGAGGTGGTGTGAAGCCTATTGCAATGGTGGTGACAGACACACCTCCAGAAGGAGGATATGTTGTACCCATCCCATGACCATACATTATACACAAATACATGTATTAAACGCTTGGGAGCTGCAAAGGACAAGGAGCTTTAGAAGATACAAAGACCCACGCTGGAGCAGACCAAATGTGTGGGCTATGGGAAGCCACAAGCAGGACGTGTGCACAGCTACAGCATTCTACCACGAATGCTCCCCAGCAACTCGAATACGCAGGCTTACTGCCTCTGATACTGGAAGTAGTGCAGACACCAGTAGCCACAATACTTGGTCCAGCATCCTGTTCCTACCGTGGCTGAGCAGATGCCCAAGGGAAGTGCCAAGTCAGCTATCACAATACCAGCTGTTGAGCACTAATCAAAGTGCAGGAGAAGGAGGGCCTGGGTAGTATTACTAGTTATGGAAAGCCTTCAGCAGGTGCCCAAGGTGGCCCTCGCCAAGGCTATTTTGCCTCATAGGGTACAATCTGATGCCTGTTTAGCCCAAAAAAGGTTTATCATTCCCAGTATCCACCAGCCAGCTGCAACAGGAATGCATCCTTAGAAATTTTCTGAAAGTTGATCAACATTACACCACATACAATTTATGAGATGCAGGTAGCTAATCTACAAAAAGTTAGCATCGGCCAGCTGCTTAAAAGCAGGAACACTTAAATTTTGAAATACAACTGCACTAAAAGTTGAGGCAGCATCCTTGTTCATATTTCAGCAACACTTCAAACAGGCAGAATCATTCATGACAATGTTACAAGCCAGAATAGACAGTCCCACTCTGTAGTCTAAAGACTTTTAAGGCACATATGGATTTACTTCCCTCAGAGTTTCCTGAATGAATATAGAAGTTGCAAGCTTTTCTAAAAACAACCAGCACTGCTCAATCCCTGGCATGTGTAGCACAGCTAGACCTAAGCAAAGCCACAGATGATACAAACTAAGCCACCTGTCCCTGAATTGTATGTGGAGTTCTTTAAAAAACAAAAAGATGGGTTAGCTTAAATAAAAATTAATTTGCATTTATCCTGTGTGAAAGCTACTGGATTTTTACCTACAGTGTGCATATTGGTTGCTTTTGTCTTTTCACAAAAATAAGCTCTATGTAATGTGTTCGGCGAGAAAGTATTCTTCTCTGTGAATCTTAACACGTGAAGCTGTTAGTCCCCTGTATCTGCATTCAATTTCATGGCAGAAGTGAGATCAGGGCTCTGCATAAAAAGCTTTCTCTTCCTTGCATTTCAAACACATAACCTCTACGTGATTCTGTGGTTTAGCAGAATAGTGCAATTAGACAAGCAGGAAAGAGCATTTGCATTCACAAATAATACCCCATTTTTGTACACTACCTAAATAAATAAACACACAGGAAAATGTTCTTTAAAAACAGAAGCAAAACTGGAAGGTGTCATTCAAGGATCCTGTAAACAATCATGTGTAAGGAATGATGATGAGCACACAATAAATCCCACATGTAGAAAAAGTTTTATATCAACTTTCTTGAGCTCTGTAAGCACCAAGATTTCTCTGCTTTCCAAAGAGACACCTCCCATCCTAACACAGAAATATGGTACCACATGACTTGACAAAAGGCACTGTTCCCCACAGCAGAATAACTTTTGGCGGGGGGGCGGGGGTCACTCATGGGGATATTTAGATGTTCCTTTTCTGGAACAGCAAGAATATTCAGTGGAGTAACAGTCAGTACCCTTTCAGACAGTCAGTTACATGGGTTGAGGAATGATGAAATGGGAGTGAAGGTAGTGGGCATGAACTTGCTTTCCCCTTCACATATTAAGTATATACAGGGAGAGTCTAACTATGCAATTGTTTGGGTAGTTCCATATATTATTATTTATTTATTTTATTTCTACACTGCCTATAGCCAAAGGTCTCCAGGTAGTTTACAACAGAGTATAAAAACAATGGGGATGCAGTGGTGCAGTGGGTTAAACTGCTGAGCTGCTGGGCTGGTTGACAATTTGAATCCGCACAACGGGGTGAGCTCCCATTGCTTTGTCCCAGCTCCTGCCAACCTTGCAGTTCGAAAGCATGCAAATGCAAGCAGATAAAAGGGTACCACTTCGGTGGGAAGGTAACAGCGTTCCGTGCACTTCAGTGTTTAGTCATGCCGGCCACATGACCACGGAAACTGTCTGCGGACAAACACTGGCTCCCTCGGCTAGGAAATGGAGATGAGCACCACCCCCAAGAGTCAGGCATGACTGGACTTTAATGTCATGGGGAAGCCTTTATTTTGTATAAAAACAATAAAATATAATAGATAAAAACGTTAACAAGAATTTAAAAATTATTTAGGATAGCATAAAAAAATGCTGAAAGACAATCAAAAGATGATTAAAAATAAGCCAAGAATAAAAGAAAGGCACCTGGATAATCATGGCAGGCCCCTAAATGAACAGGGAGGTCTTCAAAGTCCTCTGCAATGAGGGCTGTCTTAAACTGGCACCAAAAAGATGGCAAATTTGGCACCAGCTGGCCTGCAGCAGGGAGGTTGTTCCA